GTGGGAATATATAAAGCGCTTAGGCTGGACATACATAAAGCGCATATTTGGCTGGCTTCTTCGTAGATGAACAAAGGAGTTTTAGGTTGACCTAGTTCGATTTTGGCCCTAGTCTCCTTCGTTCATTTCCGAAGAAGCCAGCCGATGACTTAAGCCAGCCAAATAAGCGCTTTATGTATTCTCAGCTTAAGGCTGGAGCATATTTGGCTGGCTTAAGTCATCGGTTGGCTTCTTCGGAAATGAACAAAGGAGCCTATGCCCAAAATCGAACTGAATCAACCTAAAACTCCTTTGTTCATCTACGAAGAAGCCAGCCGGTGACTTAAGCCAACGAAATATGCTTTTTATGTGTTTCCAGCCTAAGCGCTTTATGTATTCCCAGCTTTATTTGGCTGGCTTAAGTCATCGGCTGGCTTCTTTGGAAATGAACAAAGGAGCCTAGGGCCAAAATCGAACTAAGTCAACCTAAAACTCCTTTGTTCCTCTACGAAGAAGCCAGCCGATGACTTAAGCCAGCCAAATATGCGCTTTATGTATTCCCACCCTTAAGCTGCTATCAGACGATAAGGGTGGAAATACATAAAACGCATAATTGGCTGACATAAGCCAGCTTGTGGCTGGTTTTTTCGTATAGGAGAATTCGGTACTTAGATTTCGAAATGAGTTCTACCTTCTTTGTCAAAATGTTGTCTATATAGGTTGACATTTTCTCTTGACATTCGGTATTTTAACGATTCCATAACGACATTTTCTATAGGATTTGTTTCAAAATCGGTATTAGGAGTATATAAGGGGTTCTTGCATATTATAAGAATTTCCGATTGGTGTCGTACATGGTACAATAAAAAGGTAAGGTAGAGCTATCATCTGATTACAATTTTTTTCTAAGTGTGCCCGACCAATTTTTTGTATGTATTTATTGTTTTGAAAAATGAAAACAAAATATTTTTAAAACCAATGGTTGGAAGACACGTAGATTGCGGCTCGCGCATTAAAGCTATTAACCAATTTAGCCATGAAATTGAAAGATTAAACAGTTTGGATCATATTTTCGAGGGAAAATCCAGACATTTCATTTTAAAAATCTGGAAAAATATGAAAAAATGAAAACAACTTGTGACATATAATTTTGAACGAGTCCGACAGTAAGCGGGCATAGCCTCAGGGCTCTATTTCTGCAGTTTTACGAACCTGTTCTACCTCCTTATTGTACCATGGGTGTCGTATAAGAAATCTTATAAATTTGTAATTATTAAAAAAAAACTTTTTAAAATTTTTGACACATCAAAGTAATCTTCTACCACGGAAGAGAAGGTTGGCTAAGTTGGAAATTAAATAGGCCTTCCATAATGGATTGTAATGTCAGAATTACTATCAAAACAAATTCAACAAATAGTTTATTACCAAATAAATAAAACAACTTGTTGCATTGATTTTGAATATATAAACGTAGAAAAATTATTTAAATTTATAAAATTGTTGAAAAACGCGAATTATAATAGCCTCTCGAATGACGTAGTGTAAGAAAACATATAAAAATCTACTTATATTTAAAAAAACATTTAATTTTTTTGACATATCAATGCTCCCAAGCGTTGATGCATCTACCTGTATTCTTCTGCCATGGTACCATCATTTTAAACAGATTTGTCATGAAAATCGAAAGAATATATAAACGTAAAAAAGTTTGACGTTTCGTCTGAAGTATTTGGACAGTTCCATGGTAAAAGAATACAGGTATATGTATCAACGATTGAGAACACATATATATGTCAAAAATATTTCAATGTTTCTTCAAAAATAAGTAGATTTATATATGTTTTCATATGTGACGCCAATCGGAGGTTGTTATGGTATGCATTTTTTAACAGTTTCTACAAATTTGAATAGTTTTTCATTCAAAAAGTACAATTTCAAAATTGGTTTGACGGTTCATTGTCGCAGCAGCTGTGTCGATGCGTCTACTTGTATTCTTCTGCCATGGACAGTTCATAGTACCATAATTTTTTCTAGATTTGTCATGAAAATCGCGCAATAACAAGGTATTCCTGCATGTTTTAAAAACCAAATAAAATGTCAAAATTTCCTTGTGTGGAATTTCAGACAATTCCATTGAAAAGTGTAGATAAAATCATCAAAATACCGAATATTGAGGAGTACCGTTATATGGGGGCTATACGATATCGTGGACCGATATAGCCCATCTTCAAACTTGACCTGCCTGCAGACAAAAGAGAGATCTGTGCAAAATTTTAGCTTCCTACCTTAATTCGCTTTGACTGAAGCGTGATTACAACAGATGGACAGACTGGCAGGGCTAAATTGTCTTAGACTTTTACGCTGATCAAGAATATATATACTTTGTTGGGTCTAAAATGATTATTTCGATGAGTTTCAAACGGAATGACTATGTATGGTGTGGGGTAAAAAAAATGTATGGTGTGGGGTAGAAAAACGAAGACGAAGAAGTAAGAGAAATGACAGAACCTAAATAAAGTTAAAAAGCAGTAAGCTTGGCCGGGCCGAACTTTGAATACCCTCGACCATTTGGAAATTTTCCAAAAATAAAATCAGTTAAAAACTCTGTTAAAAATTTAAAAACATATTGGGGTTTATACGACGTGGGCCTACATAGGCATAGTTTGTCATAAGCCATTACCATATTCAAATTCGAAACTTGAAAAAAACGGTAAATAATCCAGCTAAATTCATCAAAATACCGAATATAGGGAGGTACCGTAATATCGGAGCTATACTAAGACCTGGACCTGCATAGCAAATTTTCTGTCACAGGCTGTTGCATCCATTACCAACTTCAAATCCGACATCTCAAGCAATTTCGGTGAGTATTGTACCTAAAATCGTCAAAATAACGAATATAGGGAGGTACTGATATATGGGGCCTATACGAAGACCTGTACCTGCATAGACAGGATCTACAGACTGTAGATCCCATTACGAACTCTAAATACGTAATTTGAAACTACTTCGGTAATAAAGACGCTGAAATCATGAAAATATCGAATATTGGGAGGTACTGATATATGTGGCCTAAACGAAGACCTGGACCTGCACCCTACGAACTCTAAATGCGTAATTTAAAACTACTCCTCCTGTAGTATCCATTACATACTTCAAATACCAAATTTGAAACAATTCCGGTGAAGAATGTCGCTAAAATCATTAAAATATCGGATATCGGCGGGTGCCGTTATATGGAGGCTTAACCTGTCTACTGGCAAAATAAACACGTGTGCCAAATTTTAGCCATCTATCTCAATTAGTTCGAAAGATAGCGTGATTACAACAGACAGACGGACATCGCTCAATCGACTTACAATTTTACGCTGATCAAGAATATATATACTTTGTTGGGTCTGACATGAGTATTTCGAGGAGTTACAAACGGAATGACAAAATTAATATACCCTCCAAAGTATTGTGGAGGGTATAAAAATGTACAAAAAAATCATACTCAACAGTTTATTACTTGAATTAAAAGCGTCATCGCCAAACGAAATTTTTAAGGTTGGATAGTTTTACTTACGAGGAATTACTAAGCCTAGTTTAGTCTCCAATTAATTTTCGACATCAATAATTCATATTAATTTTCTTTATTAGCCCGATTGTTATATTTTTCACATTTAACATCCCAAAGTGCTGGCAACGACCCGTAAACTTCCATCATCTCAAAAACAGCGTACGAAAATAAACTATATCAATCGATTGCAATCGTTTCGTTCTGTATTTTCTCGAAGTACGAAACGAAACAAAGCCGATATTAAGATAACGGAACTTGTTTTTTATTTTGTACTATTACAAAGTACCGAAGTACATTAAAGCAGTCGTATTGTTTGTGTATTTCAGGCATTGAAATGTTTGTGGTTGTTTTGAATAAAAACGATTCAAAAAAATTAAAGTTTGTGACTTCGTGTGAGCAGTACGTTATTCGTTTCGTTTGTTTTCTTTCGCTGTTATCAGCGTACGAAAATAAACTTTACTAAACGTTTGCAATCATTTTGTTCCGTATTTTCTTGAAGTACGAAACAAAACAAAACCGGTATTAGGATAACAGGACTTGTTTTGTATTTTGTACTGTTTGCGTAGATGAGTGGAGACAAAAACAAAACTGAAATGTAGTCTCCTGGATGAAGCAACAACAAAACTTATTACAAACGTTTCTCTGTATATTACCTCATTATAAACAAAGAAAACTAATATTAATTTAAATTCAAGCCTTTTTATTCATTTATAACCTCCATCATACAATGTAAAAAGTGTCAAAAACAGTATTTAGATTGACGACTCTAAATGTAGCATTTATAATGTCGCACAGCAAACGTTTGGCAAATCACAGTCGATGTTCATTAAAGCAATCGTATTGTTTGTGTACTTCTGGCATTGAAATGTTTGTGGTATTGTTTTGTTTAACGTGCAAAACGATTTAAAATAATTTTAAAATTTTTTACTTCGTGTGTACAGTACTTTATTCGTAGTCTCCTGGATGAAGCAACAACAAAACTTATTACAAACGTTTCTCTGTATATTACCTCATTATAAACAAAGAAAACTAATATTAATTTAAATTCATGCCTTTTTATTCATTTATAACCTCCATCATACAATGTAAACAGTGTCAAAAACAGTATTTAGATTGACGACTCTAAATGTAGCAGTTATAATATCACACAGCAAACGTTTGGCAGATCACAGTCGATGTTCATTAAAGCAATCGTATTGTTTGTGTACTTCTGGCATTGAAATGTTTGTGTTATTGTTTTGTTTACGTGCAAAACGATTTAAAATAATTTAAAATTTTTACTTCGTGTGTACAGTACTTTATTCGTTTCGTTTATTTTCTTTCGCTGCTATGCACCTTTTCTCTTTAAAGAAAAAAACGTTACTACGGGGCACTTTAACGATGGCCCGAAGGTTGCTTAACTTCAAAGAAACTAAAAAAATACAACACAATGCTGGAGCCTTGTAGTGTCAAATAGACTTTTAGATATGGAACAGTTGATTTTGTTTATTTTTTAACAAAATGCTTATGTTGGGGAAAACCCGGAAACAAGAATGGAATTTTGGGGTTATTCAACAAGGTTGAATCTTTAATAGTAGGTCAATATAGTTTTATCCTAGAATTTTACAATGTGTTACCCATTAACGTATATTATGTATATTTTATTCAAAACTATACACAAAATGTGTATTTAGGGGGTAGCTTTGTTCTACCTTCTGTAATTGTGCCATGCTTTCAACTACCTTTTTATTCTTCGTTCAATTGGACTTGTTCATTATGAACTATACAAATGTGGAATGTTTTGACGTTAAAAGTAAACAGCTGACGGTAATATGAGATCTATTAATGCTGCCAAGGGTGTAGTAAAGTAACTTGTTGATTATTTTCGTGAAAATTGTTATTTATTAAAATATGATGCTGGATGTGTATTGGCTATGATAGTAGAAATAATACATAGCAAAATCTAACGTAAACCACCAAAGATATATATAAAGGAGGCGTGATAGAATGTCGGCAAATTATACGCGAGATACGGAACTGAGAAATGTACAATCAAACGATTTGTACCAATTGGCCGTCATTTTAGATGATAACAACTATTGGCAAAAATTGATGGAAAGCATACCAAAAACTATAAATAATAAACTCTATGGTCCATCATGTAACATCTATGATGATGTGTACTCCAGTGCTCCCCTAGCTATCAGTGAAAGAAAATACAACAATGATCATATACGTCTTATACAAAATGCCTATAAACGGACAGGAGAATTGTGTGCCGAGTTGTTGTTTGATGAGTGGGGTACTTCTGGACGAAAACATGAACGCCCTACCCTAGGCTTACTATTATATTTACTTGTAAAAGCTCATTTGTTTCGTGGCGCTGATTATGTAGCAGAAACATTACTAAAAGGTAATATTTATTTTACATGCAATTTTAGGCGATGGAGGCCTTTAGTAAAAAAATAGTACATAGTTCGCATCCATTCCATTTATAGAAAATATACTTGTAGTTAAAATCAATTTGCTTATTTTCACATTAAACGGTAACAACTTTAGACTGGCTGGAGGGTATATGCCGTCACCTCCTTAAGGCTACCATTGTTTAAATCTTATTGTTCTATATACAGTTTGTAAGCATAATTTTACAATAATGTCGTTTGATTTTGTAGAGGAAAAACCTCCAAGGCCAATAGAGGGTCCGGCCGCCGAAATTTCTTGTGGATTTCCTTCTTCAATATTTGCCAACGTTAAGGATATTGTAGAGGACAGCCAATATTATCCTGGCACTGAATTGCTACAACAGAATGCCAATTTTGAGAGTAGTACAATGGACAACAATAAAGATTACTATACTAAATATAAGGGCCCAATTGATAAATATTTTGCACCATCATTTTCTTCTAACAACGATAACGCTGAGGCCCCAAAACCACCCCCACGATTGTTACGATCAGCAAGGCTGATGAAGCAACAAATGCTACAAAATACTCAGCCTCGGCAACCTGAAAACACTGAGCCAACAGCCACTTTGACAAATCAACGTGAAGCGAATTCTATTGAAACATCGAATGGTGAAGCCTCGTCAATAACAACAGATAATTTGCCGAATTTTTCCTTACTAATGAAGTCCTCCAACAGCATTAGAAACGATTCTACTCCGAAATTAAGCTTTTTAATTGGAAATTCGGTCATTTTATCTCAGTCAACTGATGAAAACAATGGCATACATATTCCAGATACACGTAGCACAGAAGCCTGTTTACCCTCCAATGATATTGATGATGTGCAAACAAGTCAAGACCTGCCAGCAATAAGCGCCTTAAATTTAAATGGCGAAAGAGACGTATCCCATGATGTGAATAACTTGGAGGATGATGTGCCATCGGTGGCATTAAATTTTTATGCCAACAGTCCAATAAACTCTAGAAGCATTGATATAGCATCTAACGAAGTACCCTGTGTGGTAGAATCCATGGGCCATGAGATGAATACACAACTTTCAGAAATTGATAACGAGACTGACAATTCGGACGACGACGATATTGATGATGACGACGCGGATGTGCCAAATTTAAGCATTTTTAATGATTCCAGTTTAACGAGTGTAACCAACACAAGTGCAGAAAATAGCTTCGAGCAGAACAATGATAGCAGGCCAACATCAGCTGATAACATTCCACCTATACATTCCGAATGCATTCCGACTCTAAATTGACTTGTAATAAAAACTCAACAATTGTGTTAGTATTTTTTCATTAAATCTCAAAAACTACCTGATAGTCTGTTATAGTATGTTATTTAAATTGCAAATTAACAATTATTCCATCTTAACATTGTGTAAAATATTCAATCAATCTTACGTGCTTATGCGATATATATTACAAACTATATTATGTTAACGTACAATTTTATAATTTTATATTTGGTCCTAATTTTTAACGAAAGTATACATGTATACTTATAAAACATTTTATTTGTTAAGAGAGACAAAAAATATAAGAACTCACATTAAAAATAAATAAATGTTTGAACAAGTACAAAAATATAAATGTTTAAAGTCCACATAATAAAATTAGGGCAGTTTGAAGACCGTTTTCTCAAAACAATTTTTCGCTGACTTCTACCGCCATAGTTTTTGTGATTGCTTCTGCCTGATTTCAATCAAAAGTGCAATAAAAACAATGGACTCAAACCAGGATTGTTAATAAACGTACGTGTCATCTGAACTTATTAGGATATATAAAACTTATATTTATATACATAAAAAATACAAGTAATAATAATTATACATTAATAGCCTGATCACAACTCTTTTGTTTAAGGCAGACAAGCAATTGATACCCAGACAATCAAGTTTTTATTTCAGTTTATTTACTTTTTTCGTCTGGGAGTAAAAGCTCATTGTACCCATTGCCCCACTGTCAAAAAGAAAATTTGTTTAATATATTTTTTTTAAATTATTACGTCCGTTGGTTTTAGTCGTGGCGTGTCGGTGCCCGGACATAAACACCATTGCAATTATGGGGATTATGCCCGGTTTGTTTTTGGTCATAATAATAATGTGGGGATAGTGTCCGCTTCCAACACAGAATCAAAGATTTCTAAAATTAATTATTTTTGTACGTAGTCCACACAGCAAACGGTCATACTTTATTATTTGGATTATGGGTATTATCACCGAAAAAAAGGTCATAATCCCCATAATTTCAATGGGGATTGAGGATTTTGCATTTTTTTTTTTTTTGGATTCTCCATTTCAAATAAAAGTGTAAATGGTGGTGGCGGAAATATCAACCCACCTCGAAATATTGGTCGCCGAGCTGGGTCGATTTAACTATGTGTGTCCGTCTGTCCCTTTTTTATTTGTAATCGCGCTAAAGGTAACAGTTATGACGCAAACCTCACGAAATTTTGCGTTAAGTCGGGTCAGAATAAAAACCTTTAGGGCTTGAAATGAACCAAAAAAAATTTTTTAGATTTTGTAGTCTCTCAGGTCATAATTATATACCAATTTGCGCCTAATTTTGCGTGGGGTTAGAGTTGAGAACAGCGAAGAAACGCACATATTGGAATCGACACAGCACAGCGGATGAAATTAACCATACATTTTGTGTGAAATATCAATTTTCAAACAAAATAGTTTACTTTGCTGACTTTTTATGAGTGAACGATTGATATTTTTGGATTGTCTACTTTGGCATATAGTTTTGTTTGTGTTGGAGTTAGGTGAATTAAAATTTGCCTATAGAAAAAGCTCTTTTTGTTTATTTACGTACCGAAACCAAAAATTCTATTTGTCTGCCATTCGCCTTACAATTGGAAGAAAAATAAATTTGGTGAACAGGCTATAAATCTACTATATATTCTCATTAATTTCCCTTTTGCTTGACTCACGCGTTCCAATCAATGTATTCCATGACCCACTTACAATCTCCACATTGTCTTTACAATTTTTGAATTTTAGCACATATTGAAAATGATCAGTATATAACTCGTTGTTTGGTAAACCCAACTGCCCATATGCATTCCAACCTGCAGCATATACAGCACCACAATTCATTTCCACCATTGTATGTCTGGCTCCAGTTGCTATTTTAGTTGGAAAACAATCTTGTTCCTTGTTGTCGCAACATGTTAATTCCATTATATCAACTACTTGTGGCACGACGTATATGGCGGGTTCTTTAATTGTACAATTCTTATACATTTTTATTCCAAGTTGACCATTCGAATTGAATCCCCATGTGTAAATATCACCGAATGCTGATATGGCAGCACTGTGCCATCCTGCTGCTGCTATGCATATTATCTGTAATGAGAATGAAACATCATAGTTAAAAATTCTTTTGCCTTTAAAATACTCCAATTCAACCTTTACTTCGATAGCTAATGTTATAAAAGAAATTGGCTTTTTGATTAAAAGTTCCTCTGGTCTTGATAATATAATAATGTTTTTAATAAAAAAATGCCCATAAGATCTGTAGAATATCTTAGTATAATTTTCAATAACTGTATTGGAAATAACCGATGCTTAGAAAGTGTTAAAAACTATTCCGATAGCATAAAGAGGTTTTGTTAAGTTGGATTGGTATATTGTCCTTGCGTATTTGACTAATACGAAACATTTTAGCATAGTGGGGAAGACCTATTAATAATAATAAAGTCTGAAAAATAAAATGTATATTGTTTATACCATAATTCTATTGGGAATGGTGAACACATGTCGGTTATTGAAAACCATTAATTGTCAGTAACAAATAAATAGCGTGGTAAATGTTGACTGTTTGTTTTGAACACCTTACATCATCATATTGATTATATTATTGTCTTTGCTGTAGGTATTTTCTATCTTCAATACCAAAAATTAACATATTGTACGCAATCCCTATATAACAGAGAAAAACAGGACACAAATAAGTTACTCTTAATCATTAAAACTTTAGTTTTTTGTATTTACATTGCACATTACTTTATAAGTATATATTTCCAGTTAAGCATTCATAGAAATAACTATTACAAAACCGTTAGGTCGTACATAATAACAAAAAATATCGACTACGATATGTGCTTTGCAACATCAAGCGTATTTATCACAGGTAATTTACCTTTATTCCTGCTATTGCTTCTATGAGTACGGGTTTCTCCTCAACTCCTATAACACCCAGTCCCAATTGACCTCGTCTACAAATGAATAAAGTGTTCAGTAAAAAGAGTGGGTTTCTTTACATTGCGAAATATTTCAAAAACCATACTTACAATCCATTACCCCATGCGTAAATATCTCCATTGTGAGTCAACATCAGGGCATGTTCAAAACCACATACCAATTGTTTGGACCTAACGTGCTTAGGAAAACAATGCACCTGGGTAGTGCCTGTAAATACTTCATTAGACAAGCCTAAAGCTATCATAATATTGTTGCCACACGCTATTTTCTCTATTTTAACTTTTGAAGCGCAGGCTGATGTCGTCTTTCCAAAGATAGATTTATTTTTTGGTGTAAAACTCTCATTGCTTTGGAATATGACTTCTTTCAAACCATCTTCGCACTGAATTCCATATTTATATACCGTCCCGTTATTTAATAAAATTAAGCAGTATCTATCACAACCAGCTAAACATTTTATTTCATTTTCAGCTTTTATAAGTTTCTCACTTTTTGTTCGGCTGTTAATTAAACCCCTTATTTGTAGGGAGCATCCATTGGCGGCCGCCACATAGCTCCATGAAGATATTAAGTGTGTGGCTCTGACATCAATTTCTAAATAATGTTAAAGATCAATTTTTAAACTCCACAAAAACTATAAATTTAAAATATTAACTACCTTTAAAATATCGTATTATCCGTTCGTCATGAAATTTGCTTAACTGACCAAACTGATTAAAACCACAAGCCAGCCATCGTTTTTCGTTGTGTTTTATGTCAGACGTTGCTAAGTGATCTACGTTGTAATTACATGCTATACTTTCAGTTCCACCCTCCATTCTATTGTCTGTCAGTGCGTATTAAACCTCGCAGGTGTATCGTCGGCTTTTGTATCTCCAAATTTTTAATGTTTTCGCGACATTGGTCATTCCAAAATCGTTGCAAATATTGTTGTTAAATCAGTTGACCTGAATTCGTGAAATGGTATGAAAAAAAACCAAATATGCTGAACTTGGATGTGATAATATCGAATCTTGTGCTTATTTCACAAATAAATGTAACATTTTTATGGAAATTCAGTTGCCATGACTACACAATGACACTTCCACTTAGTATGCACATATGTCAAGTGTTCATCTTCTCACTATACTGAAGAAAATTGTTCCATTCATTTTGGAATGAAATTATATTTATTATATTTACTAATGATTTAAAATTTGGAAACATACGCCGAAATTGTATTTACCAGCAGTAACCGTTTGTTTATTTTGCCAAACAAGTGCATACATACATACTTACAAGTGATGATATACAATAGGTGTGTCTGGTTACCCTAAAATTTGTAACAATTGTTACAAATTGTTACTGGAAGTCGTCTGTTAACCCGAAAGTTCTGCAAAAGAGAGCGGTCGGAGAGAGAAATTTTGACAGTTCTTTCAGTGAGAGTTTGCAAATTTTTGCTGGACAAATTTCTTCTTGCGATCACTTGCAACTCTTCTTCTTCTCCTTCATCGACATTCAACCAGGTGTTTTCTATTGTTTGTTTATTTCTTTTTGTGCTTTTAATTTGAAAATATTTTTTTGGAATTAGTAAGACTAATTGTTTTTGGAGAACAACTTTACAAAATGTAAAGAACATAAATATTAATATGTAATAAGAAAATAAGCGACTATTTCCAACATTTTTAGATAAGCGCCATTAGCAACACGTTGAAAGAATTCCGGGTACACATCAAATATATCCTTCTTTTATTACTCATATTTTTATGTAATTGCTAATTTTCTTTTTGGTTATAAAACTTGTAAAATTGGTGGTGCTTCCTTTCTTTTAATTCTTTTAAGGGGGGACAAATTGGATTGTTTTGACAAAACAGCTGATTAGTTGCAAGCTTCTCTAGGAACACCGTCTGTTTACTTTTCATATTTTCCTTGCAAAAGAGAATAAAACTACCTTACTCTCCCAGAAAGATGTTGCTGGACAATTCCTGGAGGAAAAGTTTTTTAAAATTTTTGAATGAAAAATTATTAAAATTCGTAAAAATTGTTGAAAAATGCATATCATAACAACCTCTGCATGACGTCGTATAAGAAAACACATAAAAACCTACTAATTAAAAAAAAAACATTTTAAAAATGTTGACATATCAATGTTCCCTATGCATACATATACTATTACAAAGTGATATTGTAAGGCAATGATGCAATAGGTGTGTCTGGTTAGTTTTCCAGCAGGAATTATCCTGCAAATACTTTCTGAGAAAGTAAGGGAGTTTTATTCTCTTTTGCAAGGCAAATGCGAAAAGTAAACAGACGGAATTCCTGCAGAAGCTTGCAAATAATCAGCTGATTTGTCAAAACAAACCAATTTGTCCCACATTAAAAGAAGTAAAAGAAAGGAAACACCACCAATTTTACAGGTTTTTTAAATGAAAAAGGAAATTAGCAATAAAATAAAAATATTAGCAAAAAAAAATATAGATTTGATGTGTTCCCGGAATCCTTTAAACGCGTTGCTAATAGCGTTTGTCTAAAAATAGATTTTACTTTTTTGTTACATGTTAATATTTACGTTTTTTCCCATTTTGTAAAGTTGTTCTCCAAAAACAATTAGTCTTGCTGATTTCCAGAAAATATTTCTAAATTGGAAGCACAAAAAGAAATAAACAAACAATAGAAAACATCTGATTGAATGTTTATAAATGAGAAGAAGAAGAGTTACAGGTGATTGCAAGAAGAAATTTGCAAACTCTCACTGACAGGCCTTGTAAGCACAAAGAAAAACTGCCATTGTGATTGAAAAGCCTTACACTGCACAGTGGTCGTGGTCATATGGGAACAGCGGCCGAAAATACTTTCAGTGCAGATATCAATATGAATCTTTGGTTAGGTACCTTGATGACATAAAAATAAGAAATGTGACAAAATGGTGCAACTCGGTGTATGTTTTGGCATGGTCCCCTTACAACGTACCTTCCGAATAAGAGTTTTGCCGAATTCTTGTCACATTTCCACACCAGATTGTTCTGTTATTTTACATTCTAAGGAGTTAAAGAATAATCGTTTTTATACCCTCCACCATACATAGTATGGAGGCTATATTAAGTTCGTCATTCCGTTTGTAACTCATCGAAATAATCATTTTAGACCCAACAAAGTATATATATTCCTGATCAGCTTAAATATAGCCCCCATATAACGGTACCCTCCGATATTCGGTATTTTGAAGATGTTAGCCACATTTTTCAATGGAATTGTCTGAAAATTCACACAAGTAGTTCCTTGTGAATACTTTACCCCCTGAGAGAGAAATGTCTATATAGGTCCACGATATCGTATAGCCCCCAAATAACGGTACCCCCGATATTTGGTGTTTTAATGACTTTACCCACATTTTTCAACGGAATTGTCTGAAAATCCACACAAGTACTTCCTTGTGAATACTTTACCCCCTGAGAGAGAAATGTCTATATAGGTCCACGATATCGTATAGCCCCCAAATAACGGTACTCCCCGGTATTCGGTATTTTGACGATTTTAGCCACATTTAGTGTCTGAAATTCCACAAAAGGAGTCCCTTGTGAGTATTCTACCCCCTGAAAAAGAATTGTGTATATAGGTCCACGATATCGTATATCCCCCATATAACTGTACCCCCCGATATTCGGTATTTTGATGATGTTAGCCAAATTTTTCAACGGAATTGTCTGAAAATCCACACAAGGAATTCCTTGTGGGTACTTTATACCTCGGCACAGAATTATCTATATAGGTCCACGATATCGTATATCCCTCATATAACGGTACCCCCGATATTCGGTATTTTGATGATTTTACCCACATTTTCAAATCGTATTGTCTGAAAATCCATACAAGGAGTTCCTTGTGGGTACTTTATACCTCGGCAGAGAATTATCTCTACAGGTCCACGATATCGTATAGCCTCCATATAACGGTACCCTCGATATTCGGTATTTTGATGATTTTAGCTACATTTTTCAACGGAAATTGTACACAAGGGGTTTTTGTGAGCACTTTAACCCCCGACAGAGAATTCTCTATACACACATTTTCAAATCGTATTGTCAGAAAATCCACACAAGGAGTTCTTTGTGAGCGCTTTACCCCCTGAAAGGGAATTGTCTATATAGGTCCACAATATCGTATATACCACATATAACGGTACGCCCCGATATTCAGTAGTTTGATGATTTTACAACTTTTTCCAATGGAATTGTCTGAAAATCCACACAAGGAGTTCCTTGTGAGTACTTTACACCCAGACATAGATTTGTCTTATTAGGTCCACAATAACATATGTACCCCCATATATCGCACCTTCCTATATTAGATATTGTAAAGATTTAAAAAAAAAAATTAATGGATTTTACTTTTTTGAAAATTTTCTAATTCGTTCCAAATGGTGGAGGGTATTCAAAGTTTGGCCCGCCCGAACTTACTACTTTTTTACTTGTTTAAATTATTTGGAATGGCCCGCCTTCAGGTAGAGTCCCCCTGTAAAGGTACCTCCAACAAAAGAAGTATTTTTTTAAACAAATCAATTCTAAATTTTATTATTTAAAATTTTGTTTGTAAACAAAAATAACAAATTCAATATAAAATTAAATCAAAGTTATTAATGTATATATATATATATATAAATTTCAGTGTTATTCAAGTAATTCAAATACATGTTTTAATAATATAGATTTTTTATTATTTGGTAAAGTTCGCTGTTCCGTTATAAAAGTTTGAGAGCTCAGAAAAATTAATTAAGATCTGTATTTATTGAAACACGAGATTTTTTTCGCGTATGATTTAGTCTAAAACTTTTTTGGATCTTTGTTTATAGACTCCAAGGTCTTCTCCGATAATACTCCAATCGATACCATGGCATATTTTATAATGTCGGATGGATGTAAAAAAATTGCATGTACTATGGGTGGAAGATAGTACCATGGATATCTATTTGTTAACTCTTTAGCGGTTTCCAGTGCAAAGGCCTTAATACTTTCGACATTATTATTGTACCCAGATGACAATGCATGCAACAATATTGAATACCTCTCAATAACATTTTTAACAATCCCTGTTATTTCCGCAGATAAGCTCAAAATAAAACTGACAAAATTGCAGCGAAGTCACTTCAGTATGGGCATAACATACACATCTGACAAAATCTGAGAGTTGAATTAGCACTTTTAAAATCCTAACATTACTAATAGCGTGAAAAATCACGTTGGAGGATTCAGGGGGGAAACTAATCTTAAAGGCAACTCAGAACACGCACATCTTCTATATTATACACAACTATTAAACAAACAAATACCTGCACTAAAAAAGTCAATACCTTGCTTTTCAATAATTATGCCAAGATTTGTCATTTTAAATATATTTAATTTTGTAATACAGTTCAATTTTCACTCCACTTTTGCACTGATCCCACTGACAAAACGCAACTAACTACATTTTCACTTTTTTATGCTATTCTCGAAGTGGACCGTTAGAATGAAGCCAAGATTATTATGTTTTCTAAAAAGCTTAACCCCTTAAGAGTCCATGTGTACACATTTGACAATAAATATCTAATTTTAATTTTTCGAACTTTGGCCAATAGCAGCGACCACTGTACACCAGTTCATTGGTGTTGTTCCAGAACCAGCAACAATACTATATCGTTCCCATAGCCAAATTATATATGGTGAACTAATGCTAAGATATGATAAACAATTCTTTCCTGTATTCCCCCATAACTTCTATGCTCCCGCCTTTTATACCTCGGTACCTCTCTCTCATATATATATTCTAACATACCTGTGTGGCTATCTATCCACCAAGTGGTGAATATAATGTTATAGTTCTAAGGTTATAAGGTTATGTTATAGTTCTGACTATTTTCCATTGGGCAGCACTTGCATTAGCAGACCACAACTGAGCATCCAGGGGATTTTAAATACCAATTCAATTTCTTATACGTCAAATCTTAAACCCAGTGGTTTTTATTTGATCTATACACGATGGAATTGATAGTTGCGAACAATTTAAAAACGCAAAATGTGGAAGATTTTTTTATTTTTTAAAATTTTGCTATGAATTTATTTGGCTGTTTTGAAGATTTGTGTTTCAATTTTACTGCATTTGCATTTTCTCAGCTGCAAGTAACTAACACATTTTTACCATGGCTCAATAAAAAAGGTTTCTCAACTTCAAGGAAACTAGGAAAATGCCATGGCAGAAGAATACAGGTAGATGCATCAACGCTTGGGATCATTTTATGTCAAAAAAAATTAAATGTTTTTTCAAATATAAGTAGATTTTTATATGATTTCTTATCCTACGTCAGTCGGAGGCTATTATAATTCGCGTTTTCAAAAATTTTTAAAAATTTAAATAATTTTTCATTCAACATTTTCAATTCCAAAATTGGTATGACAGTTGATTGTCCCAGCAGCTGTGTCGACGCGTCTACCTATATTCTTCTACCATGGAAAATGCAATTATGTACTGGAGTCTTATTACGTCAAATAAACAGGCAATAACTTGTTTTGTTTTTATAACATTTTTTCACAAAACTCTTATATTGCGGATAACCCACTTCGTACAGCCCCCATATGACGGTACCTCCCTATATTCGGTATTTTTGATGATTTTAGAGACATTATTCACCGGAATTGTTTCAAAGTTGATATTTGATGTTCGTAATGGATGATATAGCCTATGATGAATTTAGCGACATTATTCACCGAAATTGTTTCAAATTTGATATTTGATGTTCGTAATGGATGGTTGAATGGATGGATTTGTCTGTGCAGGTACACGTCTTCGTAGAGCCCCGATACAACGGTACATCCCTATATTCGGTATTTTGATGATTTTAGCGACATTATTTACCGGAATTGTTTCAAATTTGGTATTTGAGTTCGTAATGGATACTACAGCCTAAGACAGAAAATTGTCTGTGCAGGTCCACGTCTTCGTATAGCCCCCATATAAGCGTACCTCCCAATATTCCGTACTTTGATGATTTTAGCTACATTATTCACCGATTTTGTTTTAAGTTTCGCATTTGAATATTGTAATGGCTTATGACAAAAGTTACCTATGCAGGTCCATGTCTTCGTATGGACCATAACAACAACAGCCACATTCGGTATTTTTAAGATTTGAACAGAATTTTGTAACGGATTTTATTGTATTTAAGAATTGCCAAATTCGTTCCAAATGGTGGAGGGTATTCAAAGTTCTTACTTACAGTAACTTACAGCTTTTTTACTTGTCTAAAATTATATAATTTAATTTAATATTAAAATAATCTACTAATGTAGATCAAGGTGTTACATACGAAATGACTCTCCATACTGTGGTAGATGTTATTAAAAATCCAAACACAGGGATTTATACTATTATTTAAAATTACGTAACCTTGCCACAGACACATTAGCTTTTTCGCAAATTCAAACATTAAATGTCATTTCAAATGAGCATATCCATCTCTGCATTTTCTGTAATTTACCTTGTCCAATTTCACTGGAGGAAAAAGAGGTTCACATCTCTGATTTCTGTGTATACAATGGATTTATAAATATAATTTTGACAATGAGATGTCAAACGAATAATTTTCAAAAAAATTGTAAACATATGAATGAATGATTTTACCTTACTAATTCTACCATGATTTTGATTCACAGATACACATTTTCTATAAATTCCATTTTTATTTTAGGGCCTATTATCACTACTTCGAAAGCTAAGACCAAATCCTGAAAAAGAAGCTAGAATATTATTGTTGGGACTGGACAATGCGGGGAAAACGACTATATTGAAACAGCTGGCCAACGAAGAAATTACAACGGTAAAGTCCATATAATCCCACACTATATTGAAGACAAAAATATGACCCGTCTTTCCGTTCTATAACCAATAATTTGTTTTCAGGTTACTCCGACTGCTGGTTTCAACATCAAATCTGTATCTGCTGATGGTTTCAAACTAAATGTTTGGGATATTGGTGGCCAATGGAAAATTCGACCATATTGGAAAAACTACTTTGCGAATACAGATGTTTTGGTAATTAAATAAATATCTTATTTTTGTATTTAGTTCAAATTATATCGTAGTACTACCATTTGTTAAATTCAACGGATTCATTCAATATTTCATGGTACAATAAACTGGTATTGCAAAACTACCAGCTAATTACAATTTTTTCTGAGTGTGCCCAACTTCCGTCAGCCCTGTGGTTGCATTCATTTGCTCTATTCTAGTACATGCAAGAATCTACTAATTTTACAATTTTCTTAATTTTAATTTAATTTAGACCTTTTATTCATAATTTTGCGATTTCATTTCATTTCGTCGATATTTTCTGCTAACTCAAAAAATGAGTTCCCACTACGCATTAGTTGCCAAAAAAAAAAGTAGACACCCAGAAATTGAAATTGTAGTATTAATTCGAGGTATCCTCATCCAAACAACATCCGGCTCGGTGCAGTTGAAAAAAATGTTGGAGTAATAAACAACATATACCGAATAAACATATTGCAAAAAGTAATCAGAAAAAACATCGGATACAAAACTGTAATTTTTATGTTTACAAATTTGTTGTTTAATGTGAAAATATACATGCATATCACAAAATCGTATCGAAATGGTTTGAATTTCGCAATTCAAAATCGTACGTTTTTGTTTTGGCTTTTTCAGATTTCGTACGATTTGGTGAGCTATGAATTTTGTATCTATAAATATGTGAAATATGTATTGTGGAATGCTGTTTAATCAATAATCATTAATTAATATTTTTGGGGCAGTTACAGGAATTCGGTCCGAAGCATCTCTTAAATTCCTCCGGCGTATTTTTTCAGTATTGTGTACATTTCTTTGCGCCTCAATTACAAAAACAATCGAAACTCCCGGCATTTCGTAAACAAATTATGAAAATAACTTTCTTTTTGCACAAAAAACTCTCCCTAACAGACTATTTTTTACAAGTTACACTTCTACAATGTTTTCTAATCATGTGTTTTGTTTTGATTCCTCATTCATTCCCCTAATGTTACCATATTGAATATATAATGTTGCCATATTTACACTGAATTCATAGTTCATCAAATCGTACGAAATCTGAAGAAGGTAAAACAAATTGCGAAATTCAGACAATTTGTGACATGTCTGATAGAAAGGTTTATTACAGGACCTATAGACGGTTGGCCAGTAAGCCCATCTTTTAACCAAGTTTACTGTCAAAACACATAATTGTGATTTAAAATTTAAAAAAATTCAAATCGCAATAGTGAAGCATTTATAATTTTATTGTCAAATTGCTGTTAAAAGTAGTTTTCTTCTCCATCCTTATGTAGGCCTTGATCCGTTATTCTTTTTTGTTTGCTTTATACAAATAGAATAAACAGTGTTGCGTAAAAATCACTATAACTGCTACCTTAAACAGCCAAAGTCGTAACTCTAACGACTAAAAAGAAAATCTTAAACAATAGTTTTTATGCTTTAACTTCAATACAAATAACATAAAAACCACTAAATTGGCATCTCTAATTTTGACAATGTTTTGGAAAAAATTGTACACATATGATTGCACAAGGTTACTTTACTTTGATTCTGCCAATATTACAACTCAGGGTACAATGAAGCCAAGGTAGGGCAAAACCACTAATCGATTTCATTTTTTTTATTTTCTCAATTTTAGTTATGTATGTGTGTGTTCTTTACTTGTAATCAAAATGTCTTTTACCACGTATATATAGCCAACATTTAACAGTTTTGTTGAAATTGTTCTATATAAAGATACATACATAGAATCATGGCTCAATAAGAAATGTTGCTCAACTTCAAAGAAACTAGAAAAATGCAACTCTGTAACGGAGTCTTATAGTGTAAAATATTCTTTTACATATCCAACAGTTTGTTTTGTTTATTTTTACAAATTGTAGGACAATACAGTTTTATCCCAAAATTGTACAATGTGTTGTCCATTAACGTCGAGAATATACATTTATTTTGCAACCGAATTTGAAATAATTTAAAATTATTGTATTTTTTATTCAAAACAATACACACACATACACAAAATGTGTATATGTTTTGACAGAATAAGGGTACCAAAAGAAAAAAATTGTACTTAGGAGGTGGCTTTGTTCTACCTTCTGTAATTATGCCATGCATAGAATATAATTTTGAAAAGAACCATGACCTTTAACTTATTTTATATATTTTCCCAAAAAGTCAAACAAAAAACAACATCATCAATAAATACTGACAGTACCAGCCATACAGTGAGGCCTTATATTTTGCAATTTTATTAAACATTCCCCACCTTCCTTTTATTTGTCGACTTTCAGATTTATGTCATAGATTGTACTGATCGGGAAAGATTGGGAGAAACCGGAAACGAGCTTTTCGAAATATTAATGGACAACAGACTTAAACAAGTGCCGCTTTTAATTTTCGCTAACAAACAGGATTTACCAAATGCAATGACCTCTTCAGAAGTTGCGGAAGCAATCGGCCTGGTTCGCTTGGAGGAACGTACTTGGCAAATAAAAGCATGTTCAGCAGTGGAGGGAACGGGAATTAAAGTGAGTATAATTTGGCAATTTCATAACCCTACTTTGAAATACAAGACAAATGAGATCATAGACATTTCCAGCAAAATTTACTCCACTAATTCTTTTGGAAGAGAAAATTAAAAGACATTTACTGAAAATATTTGCTCGCGATAATACATTGGAAGATGCATTATTGCGCCTAAACTGTTCCTTAAACTATTATGGCAATACAAATAGTAAAACATGTTTCGACTATACCCTTCAACGATGATTAATAGCATTATCTCGATTAATATGTTTACTTCTCCCAAATTAACGATGATTTTAATACACAATTAAATCAACTCAAAACTTTGATTTATTTTAAATCCAAAGTCGCAAATGTTTCCGCAAAGGCGTTCTTTACATTTTGCATTGGAACAAGAACAAAAAACTCATGGTACAATGATATCAAGGTAGGGCTATGATACCATATGATTTTAATTTTTTTATTTTCTTGGCTTAATATGTCAACTTTTTTTTTGTTTATGTATGTGTTTTCTTTTCAATAACGAAAAGTTTGTTCAGAAAATATTCAAATTCGTGTGTTTTCAAAATGTTTATTTCAACCTATGCATCGACAAAATCTAGAGTTTTTGTAGCGAAATAATCGTTTAGAGATATATAGTACATGATTTTGAAAAGAAGTGTTGACTTTCCATTCAGTTATCGCGTTTTTCAATTATTTACTCAAAATAAATGCAACAAGTTGTTTGATTTTTTATTGTTTTGATACTAATTCTGACATTACAAGCCAAACAGGTAGACCTCTATACTTGCAATTTTTTCAAAGTTGACCTACCTTCTCTTCATTGTACCATGAAAAAACTTAACACTTTATTGGCTCATAATTATACAGGGTGAGATAAAAAACTGCAACAAAGTCAAACGCCATTATTTTTACATGTTTTTTTTTTAAATTTTATTGAATGAAAGCAAAAATGTCGGAAATAGCTACAAATTTTAGAATAAGTTTATATTTGTTCGAATTGGTGACAATTTGTCTTTATTAGATCATTTGATAAATTATTTTTGACTGTTTTTTACTGTTAATGGATGTATACGTAAACAAACATCAGCTAAGCGGCATCTATCTAAACACCAAGATATGGTCCTTAAAATGCAACTACTGTCTTTATAAAAATTGTCATCTGTGTTGGTGTATCGTTAGTTTTACTGCAACAGAAACATATAAAAACAAACAAACAAGCCTTTGAAACTGAAAAAAGGAGATAGAAATAATTCCCATGCATAGGCAAATATTTTAGCTGAATTGTTGCCATACATTCGCAGACTCCGAGTGATCATATTTTCTTTTATTTAGTAAAATCACAAATATTCATCATTATATTCTTCTGATCTTTATTTAAATTGTTGAGTATCATTTGTTGACTTTGATGCGGTTAGCAACATTAACAAGTAAAAAAACATTACGTTCGGCCGGGCCAAACTTTTAATACCCTCCACCTTAGGGTAAAATAAACATTAGAAGAAATGTGGCAAAAACCATTAAAATGCCGATTATGGGGAGGTACCGTAATATGGGGTCTACACCAAAACGTGGACCTATAATTACAATGTTTCGCCACACGAACTAGGACCCATTATGGCCCACAAATACCAATTTTTAGACAAATCAGTGAAAAAATGTGGCAAAAACCATCAAAATACCGAATATCGGGAGGTATCTTTATATGGGGGCTATATCAAATAATGGACCCGTGCATGAAATGTTTCGCCACCGAAGCTGGAACCAATTATGACCAACAAATACCAAATTTCAGACAAATCCGTGAAAAAAATGTGGCAAAAATTATTAAATTACCGAATATCGGGAGGTCCCGTTATATGGGGGCTATACCAAAACGTGGACCTATAATTAAAATGTTTCGCCACACGAACTAGGACCCATTAGGACCCACAAATACCAATTTTTAGGCAAATCAGTGAAAAAATGTGGCAAAAACCATCAAAATACCGAATATCGGGAGGTACCGTTATATGAGGGCTATACCAAATCATGGACCCATACATGCAATGTTTCGCCACTGGAGCTGGAAGCCATTATGACCAACAAATACCGATTTTCAGACAAATCCGTGAAAAAATGTTGCAAAAATCATCAAATTACCGAATATCTGGAGGTACCGTTATATGGGGGCTATACCAAATTTTGGACCCATACATGCAATGTTTTGCCACACGCTCAGGGACCTGCTATGACCTACAAATACCAATTTTAAGACAAATCCGTGAAAAAACGTGGCATAAATCATCAAAATACCGAATATCGGGAGGTACCGTTATATGGGGACTATACCAGAACGTGGACCGATATATCTGATTTTCAATACCAACCATCCTAGACACAATGCAAATAGCTCTGCTAAATTTTGGAGCTCTACGTCAAATAATGTGGGCTGTATCGTGATTTCAACAGACAGACAGACAGACAGACAGACGGACATCGTTAAATCGACTTAGAATTTTATGCTGATTATGAATATATATACTTTATGGGGTCTAAGACGAATATTTAAGGATGTTACAAACGGAATGACAAAGTTAATATACCCTCCTTTCCAAGGTGGAGGGTATAAAAAAATAACTTAAAGCGTGAATTCTTTTCAGTTTTAATTTTTAAACCATTGTTTTGCAAATTCTTGAGTAAATAAAAAAGCGCGTATGTATACGTAAATAAAAATCTGCTGACTTACATTTTATGTAATTTTATACTTGCCTAAACAATTGGAATTTGAAAGTTCAATTTTGAAATTGAGTCGATTAAAAATGGCTAGTCTGAGAGCGCTGTAAGACTTTTCATTCATGATTTGATATTTTTTGGATCTTCGATCCAAGGTAGAATTAAGAAGGTAAAATCATGTAGTCTTATGTTTACAATTTTTTTCAAAATTATTCATTTGACAACATCTCATTGTCAAAATATACATTTATAAATCCATTGTACATACACATATCAGAGATGATGCTTTTTATGCAGTGAAATTTGACAATGTAAATTACAGAAAATACAGAGGTGGGAAGGTTTATTTGAAATGACTTTACCTTCTTAATTTTTTCCATGAACATTTACATCGCTCTGACAAATTTTTGTTTTTTTTTTTAATGCATGAATTCATTTGTCTTGTATACTCTAAACAAAGTGCATAGTATATACTTGAATGTAATTATATAAGAATTACAATGAAATAATGTTTCTACTACTATTTTTACAGGAGGGAATGGACTGGGTATGCAAGAATATGAAAAAATAAGATAGCCCTTTGTTAACTCCTAAATTATTATTATTGGCTATACGATAGCCCTAGCACACATTAACCATTTTATTGCATTATATTTCGAGTTATATCACCTGTATTTATATATAATAAATAAATTTTAAATATGATGTGATTAATTAATTATACACTGAATACTTTTGAATATCGAAACAAATATGCACAAGAATGTATATAATGTATATTGTTCAGACTGCTGTCATTTCTAAGCCACTCGTCCGACAGCTGTTAAAATTATAGCAGAAAAAAACTTATTCGTGATGGAATTCAAGCGTGATAGTGGCAGGGAAACCACAAGTGACTATGGTTAGAGCACTCCAGCATTTACGTTAACGTGATACTGGTAGGGTAGCCCGACGTCAAGGAAGTGGACGGAAGAAAACAGCAACATCAGCAGAAATGGTTTGAAAAGTAAAGAAGCGACTTGATCGCAGTGGCCGAAAAATGGCTCGTGAGCTGAACATATCGCAATATTCCATTCGACAAATATTGAAAAATGAGCTCAGGGTAAAGCCATTTAAATTTCAAAAAGTGCGAGAACTTACACCGCAACAGAAATAAAATAGACTCAAAAAGGTAAAGAGTTGCTTGGCCGATAGTGGTGAACTGCCGAATTTGGTTTTCTCCACCCGACATTCGGCATTTTCTTCGCGGATTTGTCTAAAAATTGGTATTTGTGGGTCCTAATTTGTATAATGTTTCCTTTATCCTAAGGCGGAGAGTATTAAAAGTTTGGCTTAGCCGAACTTAATATTTTTTTACTTGTTTTCAATGGAATCGACATGGGAGAACTGTCGATTCAATAAAGATGGCGACACCAGTATTAACTGAGAAACAAACTCGAGTATTAGGACTATTTAGTGAAACAGCAGGAAAACTGGAGGCCCCTCAAGATAAGTTGCATTTAAAACATGGATCATCACCTGTCTTCGCCTTCGAGATTCGCCTGGGAGATTCTATAGGTTTTGCGGCACGTATGCTTACGAAATCGATGTCAAAATTAGAATAGGACTATTTGTGTAGACCTATAGATTTTGGCCTTCATCTCAATAGGTATTTGCGGCCCCTGTTTTCAATTTTTTGGGGCACAAAATAGATGGAAGGGTTATCCATGGATAGACATATTGAATCAGTGTGTGGCTCTCGAAAACCGCAAACAAATCATGAACTGCAATTATTTTTGGTCATTCTATTACAACTCCTTCATACCAAATCTCTCTTCAAGAAGTAGACCCTTGCGGAACATTCTAACACAAGACAAATTTCAGAGAAATATCTACAGATGGATAGGGAGACACTAGCATTAATTTGGGCTGCACAGAAGTTTTTTTTACATCTTCCACAGCATTGGACCTTGTTTACGGACCTCAGGCCTTCGTCCCAAATATTGTACCCTAATAAATCATTGCCGATAATATGTATTTGGGGAATGGCCAACTACGCCAATTATCTTGGGGAACTTCGATTTTCGTCGTAGTTTTTAAGCCAGACAAATCCAATGTAAATGCCGATATGTGTTTGAGAAAACTAGAGGTGAACTACAAATAACAAGAGGTTACTTGGTGTTCGATCACCGCGTTGCAATTCTGACTTCCCTCCAGAAGAGAGTTTTGATGGAATTACATTCGGCTACTTTAGGCATCGTAAAGATGAAGGTCATGGCTGTTTTTTTGTATATTGCAACCAACTTCAGACTGCTGTCATTTCTAAGCCACTAGTCCGACAGCTGTTGAAATGATTCAAGTGACAGCTCATTATATTGGTTACAAACGTTCAAAAGCATTTTGGAGAAAATTTTCCAGAAAAAAAGTTATTCGTGATGGAATTCAAGCGTGATAGTGTGATTTCTTTATATTTGGCTGGAAAACCACAAGTGGCTATCGTTAGAGCACTCCAGCATTTAAATGTGAATAAATCTTTTGCGTCTTGGTCAATCGCTCGTTACCGTGATACTGGTAGCGTAGCCCGACGTCAAGGAAATGGACGGAAGAAAACAGCAACATCAGCCGAAATGGTTCGAAAAGTAAAGAAGCGACTTTATCGAAACCCGCATCGCAGTGGCCGAAAAATGGCTCGTGAGCTGAACTGTCGAAATATTCCATTCGGCAAATATTGAACAATGAGCTCGGGGTAAAGACATTGAAATTCCAAAAAGTGCAAGAACTTACACCGCAACAGAAAGAAAATAGATTCAAAAAGAGGTAAACAGTTGCTTTGCTTGCCCGAAAGTGAAGAACTGCCGAATTTGGGTAGTGTTTTCTTCGATGAGAAAATATTCGTTGTCCAGCAGTTTGTAAACAAACAAAATGATCGCGTTTACTTTCCAAAGAGGTCAGCTGAAAATGTGCACCTTCGTGGTGTGGTGTGTGGGCCGCCATAACAGCCGATGGTCGCTCTCCGTTTGTATTAATAAACCGTGGCATCAGAGTAAATGCCGAATATTATCGTGAAAATATTCTGGAGGGTGTATTAAGGCCTTGGGCACGCAAATATTTTGGCCGCAGACCTTGGACATTCCAACAGGATTCAGCACCATCGAACTCAGCACGCGCCAACCAAGAATGGTTATAAAATGAGGTTCCTCGCTTCATTTCCAGCGCACAATGGCCACCAAAATCTCCGGATACCAATCCGTTAAACTATTGTGTCTTAAACTTGTGTCAAATCAGCTGAGGTTTGCTGCTACCTGTATTAACTATACCATGGATTGTACCATGTAAACAGTTGCAAAATGTAAAAGAGTTTACTTCGATAACCGATTTTCCCTTTATGATACCAAAAAAGAAAAAAAACGTTAAGTTTGGCCAGGCCGAACTTTTTTCAAGTTCTACGTCAAATAATGTGGGCTGTATCGTGATTTCAACAGACAGACAGACGCATATCGTTAAATCGACTTACAATTATATGCTGATTATGAATATATATACTTTATGGGGTCTATGACGACGGAATGACAAAGTTAATATATAGGGTCGAATCAGCTGAGGTTTGCTGATACCTGCAATAATTATACCATGCAAACAGTTGCAAAATGTAAAAGTTTTTACTACGATAACCGATTTTCCCATTATGATAACGAAATACAAAACTAATAAATTCTTGCAGGTTCTGAAAAAAACAAGTGTAGCTCTGTTCTAAAACCTGTAGGAAAGTACATGTTTTACACTTTTTTTCCGATATAATAAAGGAAGAAATTAGTTATCGTATGTATTCTCATACAACTCGGCTTCTTATGTGCTCTGTTCCAGAACTGCAAGAATGTACAACTTTTTATTACTTTTTATCTTAATGGAAGATAGTCAAATAAATGCATATTTTCTTGAATTTCATTTATTTTTATTGTCATAGGAGATAATACTAATTATTATTTACATAAAAAAAACAGCTTAAAATGTTCACAGTAAAAACATGTTAAATTAAATTAGATTTCTAACCTAAAGTATCGAGAAATTAAATGTATCCTATTACATTTTGTTTGAGATATTGACGGAAAACTCGAAATTTAATTATCATGTTTTCATTTAACTGGGGCGACTACATAGACTTACAACAAAATGCTATCTTAAGACTAAAATTCTTTACCCAACAAATTAGCGCGCTCGTTCTATTTACGAGTCTGCAACTGGAGCAGACAAAGACGCACATCAAACACAAACAGACATACATACATAATAATAGTACCACGACGTTGAGTTGTTAATTGGCATTGCTCTACCGTTAGAGTCAGATAAAGGAATTACAGTTCGTTGTGAATGTATTCAGTAGTCACTCTGGCTTCGCCCTCATGGAAACCGCCACAATCAACAGGATATTTAACCTAGAAAGTAAATCAAGAAATGAAATGTAGAATTTATTGTTCAAATGAAAAGAACGACAAGTTGTAGCAAATAAATGTATGTCTGCGTGCGTGTGTAAATACAAGAAAGAAGAGGTGCTGATCATGGCGTAGAACTAAAAATGGCAGTGAACTGACTCGATGGTCTGGTCCAATTAAGCACACTTATCTACACACACACACACTGTACTGTACACTGTACTGTACTTACCTCACAGTTTGATGCCGATGTAATGACACTAAACAATGTCCAGAAAGGAGTTCCTGTTTCGGTACTAATGAAGAAAGCAGCACCCATACTGCCGACTTTAACAATTTTCGGGCTAACGCCAGAAATGAGACCTCTTGATTCCTCAGCAGAGTATTGTTCCGGATCATTCAGCTGACACAAAACATAACGATCACATTGCGGTTGCTTGTTAATGTAGCGATAGGCACGATGAACTTTTAGCACTGGTTCAATAACCTCCAAGTTAATAGTGTCCGTCAGTTTGTCACTAATTTCAGTCGCGTTGAATTGCAAGACTCCCCGCGCTTGTCCTAATTGCAGTAAATCCTTGGCGTAACCGACAGCAGGTTTTACATATTGTCGAGAATCAATTTTAACATTCAAATGTTGTTTGGCAACGTGATCTAATAAATTGGAAATAGTTTCGCTAGGCCTGCTGGGATCGAAAAAGGTATTCTTGGGATATCCTTGGGACTTAAGGAATCCGTTGAACATGAATTGTGCCGTTTGGAAGTATCTGTAAAAACATTAAAGTAAAAAAAATTAAATGTTAGTTAAACCAGAAAAAAATTACACATGACATATACATATGTCAAATCGTGATGAGACGAGTAAAAAGGTAAAAGTGAACTTCCAACAAAACGGATGCCATGTTAAATTATGACTTTTTATGATTTCGTTTTTATAATTTAAAAAAAAAAATGAATTTTTACAACATTTTATCAAAAATTGCGAAAAATGCATAAAAAATAAAAATGTTATCGATGACTGCAAATGTTGACTTTTACATGAGAAATTCCCGTCTTAATTTATGGGTAATGATAAAGGTAAATCTAATAAAAAGTCTCACAGTTGGTTTCACTTATATAGGTAAAATGCAACACTGTGCTAGAGTCTTATTTTGTCAAATAGATTTTTAAAACATGCAACAATTTGTTTTGTTTGTAATGTTTTTTTTTTTTTCAGGAATTTTTATATTGGGCAAAATTACAAAACATGAATGGAATATTGGGATTATTCCACGAAATTGAATACGGGATAAAAGGAATATACAT